CCAAGGCCCAGCCCAGTGCACCCAGTTCTGTGCTGCTTTCATCTAAATTTAGAGGCTCAAACCAGTCCAGGCTCCTCTGGGTTCAACCAGAAATAGGCGACAGACAACCAAATATTTTGGAGCACATTTCACCCCTGATGACTCGCAGGAACTGGCAGGTCGTCCATTCATACTGCTGCGAGGTAAATGGCAGCAGACCATTGCCACGGAATTGATTGATGGTGTTTCACACCCTATAAGTCGAGAAGAGTTAGTGCCAGCTCGCCTCATTTGTTTTTGCCCAGTTCGTGACCAACAGCAGGGAGTTAAATGTCTACCAGTGGGAAGATTTTACCTTCGATAAGAGATGAAAAATAAAGAAAAAATGCTTTCATAGGTCAGAAATCGGCAGCGTTACATCAAAAAGGCCTTTATGGTTACATTTTCATATGGAAGATAAAAGGTGAGTTAATGCTAAGTTATTGATTTGTATTTAAAATGATCGGTTGTGTCTGGTTTTACTCATTTATCTGGAAGTTTTTATAATGATGACACAAAATAGTGGTGAATAGAGTCCTGTCTCAAATGGTGTCTGCTGGGCTGTGGTTTAGTTGTAACGCAGTAAGCTGGGGCTTTTATTCTGAAGGAATGATGATTACATTTAAAAGCATCAGCAGTGAAATGTAACCTAACAGTGTTGTATTTTTTCTTGAATCAGACTATAAAATAATTACTGATGTATCAGCATGTAACAAGCATTTTAAAGCCATTTCTCTTCAGTTTCAGCTCATTTTGAAAACTAACTTTGCCGTGTAAATTTTTAATATTTTAAAAAAATAAGCAATTGAAGCTTTCTCTGGGATTAGGTTATTCTCAGATATTACCTGGTATATGCTTCTTTGCTTCCTTTTTTTTTTAAAAAAAAACAAAAAAAAAAACTTGTTCGCTAATTAACAACTACACAAAAAAATGTAAATACATCACACATTAAAAAGACGATAAGTGAAATTTTTCTAACCTTAAAGAAAGTGGCTTATTTTCATGCTCAAAATGAAAAGCAGCAGACAAATGTTCAGGTTCACACTGAAATAAGCATCTAACTGATGTGAATGAATTTTATACCTTCTAAATTACACTGTGCTGTTCTGTTCCTTTGATATAATATAAAATATCAATAAACCATTTTAAAGATAGTCTTACTTTCTATCCATAAAAACATGCAAAACCTTTAAATACACCCGCGTTCCCCTTCACGGTTTTCTCCTTTTGTTCTATGAAAATCCTGTTCTGACCACTGGCACACGTGCATCTGTGATTTCACCACACGTGAAAAGCAAACATCAGCTTCTGTTTCCAATGGGCTACATGGACTCGTACTTTTCAGGATTGTAACGCTGCATCCTGTTGCATCTGAGGGCAATCTTCAAACTTGTTAATGGATTAGCTGTAGCTCAGGAGGTAAAGCAGGTCACCTACTGATCGGAAGGTTAGTGGTTCGATTAGTTAGTAGTAGACCCTGGCTCCTCCAATCTGCATGTCAAGTATCCTTGGGCAAGATACTAACCCCAAATTGCTCTCCGATGCATCTGTCAGAGTGTGAACGTAGTTATAAAGCACTCGGTTTAGAGGGAGTGCTTGTGAGAATGGGTGAATGTGGCATGTTGTAAAGAGTGCTTTGAGTACTCCGGGAGAGTAGAAAAGCACTATATAAGAATCCATCCATTTACCATTTTTTCATATACAGCGCTTTCCTACTCTACCTGAGTACTGGAGCTTTATACAACATGCCCTTCACTCATTCATTCATTCAGCTATTAATCCAAGCATGTTTGCACACATTTAGACTCTGATATTTACTTGGGGTTCAGTATCTTGCCGAAGGATATTTGACCTCCATCTACCTCCTAAGCTGCAGCCGCCCCATATGTGGTGTGTGTCTCGTTTTAACTGTGGCTTACTACCCACCTTAAATGACAAGGAGCCAGATTTATTGTAATTATTTTAAAGTGGTCTTGAGCAGTAATTTTCCAGACTTTCTAAAGAGCTTTCAAAGTTTGTCTTTGTCACTTATCATCAGAGAGCTACAACAATGAAGGTCTACTGGCATCTGTAAAACACGGTGGGGGCTGTCAGTGCGTGGGGCTTAATTTCATGTGATGTTGTTAAGGATCTGCTGAAAAGTACCTTCACATTTTGATCTATCATGCAACACCATCTGGGATGAATCTGATTGGCTTCATTTTTTGTTTCACTGCCAATGCAGTAAAAGCATCCCTAGATAGAAAAACACACAGTGGAACTCTGTGAGTCATAGATTGGCCTCCCCAGAGCTTTGACATCAACGTTACTGAAGCAGTGTGGGATCATGTTTATTGAGTACATAAAAAAGGCAGCCAAGATCCAAAGAAGAGCTTTGAATGTCCTTTAGGAAGGTTGAAAGGTTCTCATTCTGACAGAGAGAAGGTGAGATCACAGGTGCACAGTGCAAGTGGTTAGAAGAAACACTGAACTCCTAGTATATAAATGAGTTTCTCTCTCCTTTTTTGTTACAGAGCTGCTAAAGTAGAAAATGGGAGACTGGAACTTCCTTGGTGGGATCTTGGAGGAGGTGCATATCCACTCCACCATGGTTGGCAAGATCTGGCTGACCATCCTGTTCATATTCCGAATGCTGGTCCTGGGCGTCGCCGCAGAAGACGTTTGGAATGACGAGCAGTCCGACTTCATCTGCAACACCGAGCAGCCGGGGTGCCGGAATGTATGCTATGACCAGGCCTTCCCTATTTCCCTCATCCGCTACTGGGTGCTCCAGGTGATATTTGTGTCCTCGCCCTCCCTGGTGTACATGGGTCATGCCATCTACCAGCTGCGCGCTCTGGAGAAGGAACGCCACTGCAAGAAAGTGGCTCTCCGGCGGGAGCTGGAGGCGGTGGATGCAGAGCTGACAGAGGTGAAGAAGAGGATTGAAAAGGAGATGAGGCAGCTGGAGCAGGGGAAGCTCAACAAAGCACCACTGAGGGGCTCTCTGCTGTGCACCTACGTGGCCCACATTGTTACGCGCTCAGTGGTGGAGGTCAGCTTTATGACGGTTCAATACATCCTGTATGGAAACCGCCTGAGCACCATTTACAAGTGCGAGAGGGAGCCGTGTCCTAACGTGGTGGACTGCTTCGTCTCGAGACCAACAGAGAAAACTGTTTTCATGATGTTCATGCAAGCTATCGCCTGCATCTCTCTCTTCCTCAGTCTGCTGGAGATCATGCACCTGGGCTTCAAGAGGATTAAGAAGGGCATTCTGGACTACTACCCACACCTGAAGGATGACCTGGACGATTATTATGTCAGCAAGTCGAAAAAGGACTCAGTGATGCATCAGGTTTGCATGGGAACGACTGTGGGACGCAAGAATACGATCCCCACAGCACCAAGCGGGTACACGTTACTGCTGGAGAAACAGGGCAACGGACCCAACTACCCTCTCCTCAACGCCTCCTCCGCCTTCGTCCCAATTCAAGGGGACCCTGGTGGAAAGCCGGACAGTCAAAAGGAAGGCAAGGAAGGAGTCCCGAGTCCCACGGAGCACAACAACAACTCCAACAATACCAGCAGTGAGACGCGGTCCCCTCCTTCAGACAAACAGGAGCAACGAGAAGATCAATCCCCACCACATCACGAGGACCTGGAGCGTGCAAGATCTGAGTACCCCACCCTGCCTGTTTCAGATGCCTCCTCCAGCACAGCGCTGTCAGGCTTCACAAGGAAGACACGAAGGATCACCCCACCGTGGAACTGCTCCACAGTTGTGGAGGGAAATGGCTCAGACAGCGGAGACTCCTACAACGGGAACAACAGCATGAAGCTACGAAGCGGCGGCGGCCCCAGAGCAAGGATCCTCTCCAAGTCAGACATTAAGAGACAGAGCAGACCCCAGAGCCCGGACTCTGCGGGGGAGCTGAGCTCTATATCTCGACACAGCCGGGAGAGCAATAGTCCCGCCGCCTCCCCACCAAACCGGCGAGTGTCAGCTGGCAGCAGCGCCAGCAGCAGACGAGCCCCGACTGATTTACAGATATGAGGACTGCTTAGAAGAAGCCATTAAAACACTGTATTACTGCACCTTTTACACAGTTTAGACTTCTTTAAGAGACAATCACAAAAAGCCTGCAGAGATTATGCGTGTGCATTCTCCAGTCTTAGAAAGAGCATGTGACAAACAAGCAGTCTAACATCTACTCTTCCTTTTAGAGGGACTCATGCTAGGATGCACAGCCTTGTTTTCTCAGATTTCCAGGTCAGTTTCAGGCTTTCAGAATGAACTTCAACCCTCAAACAATCAAGCTATAGTAGCAACTGACATGACTGAGTGGGGCCTCGTGATGTTTGATGATAAGTCATGATAAGTTATTCTGAAATGTTTTAATGGTCAAATGAAGGCTGAAGGGTCACACACACTGAACTGTTTAACTGAAACATGCACTGAATTATTGCTAGAGAGCTGCTTCCCCATTGACTTCTTTGAGACCCAGGTTGTTTTTGAAATCACAGGAATCACCCCGTGGTGGACATTAGTAAGAATGCAGGTTTAAAACGTTTCTGCATTGGCTTCACTTTTCAGACCTCGAACCTGCGCCTGTGTTTTATACTGTCTGAGAGTTCATAGCAAGTGTTGTTTTCTCTCTTTTGACCTCGACTTAAATAACAGTACTGACTAGGATCATTTACCTCATTAACATAATGCCTTTTATAGATTTCTTTCTTTTCTTTTGATAAGGGGGGATTTTAGTTTGCCTTTTAACTTGTGAGGGGTGAGACTGAGTGGGCCCACTGGCTGGTGGAGACTGATTTTGCACCTCTGTATCATAAATATGATTTCAATCATTTTTATGCAACAAAGGAGTCAACTTGACTCATCTGTTTTCTTCGATACTTTTGACATGAAATATCTTCAAGACTTTTCCAGCAGTAAATTTCACTTGCAGCAAAACATGACAGTGGTTAAAAAATAACATACATATAAGCCACAATGATGTTTCCATGACTGTTGCCACACAAGTGAGCAAATTCCTGCCAACAAGTGAGTAAATCTGTAGGATTTACAAAGAATGGTATGAAAAACAGAAAATACCCAATAAGCAGCTGTTCTCTGGGTAATATGTTGACTGGGAGTAGCCAGACTTCCCTGAGATTTAAGGACAACAGTAATTCAAATAACAAATCATTACAACAAAGAACATCTCTGAACGCACCAAACCTTGAAGCAAATGCGCTACAGCAGCAGAAGACTACATCGCGCACCGCTCCTGTCCATGAAGAGCAGGAAACTGAAGGTACAGTTCACACTTACTCACCAAAAGCAGACAACTGAATACGGGAACAAAATTGCCTGGTCTGATAAGTAAAAATTACTACAATGCCATTTGGATGGTAGGGTTAGAATTTGGTGTAGAAAAACTTAAAAGGATGGATCCAACATGCCTCAAGTCATGGTTCAGACTGGGAGTGGTGGTGTAGATCAAAGTGTGATTTTCTTGCCACACTTTGGGCCTGTTATTAGCAAAGTATATGTACCTAAGAAATAACCAGAGTGCACACGTTCTGGTAACTACTTCCTGCAGGATCCTTTGTAGCCAGACACACTTCAGTCAGTTGCAGCGTCTGAATTCATCCATGATGAAGCTTTAATAACAAATGAATTTCCATCAGCAAAATCAAGGACCTTCAGGACAGAGAAAGGCTGATGCTGAAATGTCATTTTTAATTTAGAAAGCTTCTTGTTATACAACAAAAAAATAACAGTGAGTTTGCATTCACTGTACATCCATTGTTTAATAAACATTTACATACTCTACAAACAAGACTATAGTAACATTTTTCTTTTTATCCCTCCACAAAAGCAAAGAAAACCTCTACTCTGCTGCTTCCCCATCAGGCGATGGTTCATACTGCATCAGCTGGAAGATGAAGAGGAAAACGAGAAGGTTAAAGGTCACAAAATCTGGACCAAATATAGACATGTGATTATCTGTAAACGCTCACCCTGCTCCTCAGCTCTTTGTTCTCCTCCATGAGCTCGCTGCACTTCTGTTGTAGATCAGCCAGCTCCGTACGAAGAGCCTCCGTGTCTGCTGGCTCTGGACCAGCTGCCCCGAGATGAAGCTTTATGAAACTGTTGCCATGGTTAAGATTAACGAGCGCATGGAAATTTTAGTCATCAAAACTATCTAATTTTATTAGAGCAGAACAAGGTCCAACTCGGTTCTGCATGTTAATTCAGGAGAATGATGATTCAGTTTGTAGGTTGGAGAGACTGGTGCAGGAGAATGACTCCTTAGCTTAAGAACTGTTGGCCTGTGACAGACTCACCCACTGCAAGTATCCTGCAGTATTTAAACATGTGAAGAACAACACAGAATCAAACCCCATGAACAGATTAAAAAAAAAAAAACTTAGATTTTAAATCTGCTGCCATAACAAGAAACTGGCTTTTCCACAATAAAACAGCTGAGTGATTTGGTCTAGCCTACATCCTTGCAGTCATACCGAGATGCACAGAACATCAACATATTGATGAATTTTGATGCAGTTGATTTCCCCTATCTACACAGCTGAAGAATTGGAGATGTTACGATTTTTATTGTGAATTAAAACTCAAAGTCTTAAAGGCTGCCATTCATCTCTAAATGGACCAGGAGTCACCTCATTGCCCATCTGAAGGTTTCAGGGGACGACGGTGCATTTAAATAATCGATTTGACTGCAATCGTAACATTTTAAGACTGATAATACCATAAATAAAAAATAATAAAATATTTTATTTTAAATGCAGTGGTTTAAGCTCTAAACCCGTTTATATTGAGTGAAATTTAGTGAAAAAGTATTTGCCAACTTCCAGATCTTATTTATACATATTTGCTGCATTTAAATATTCCACACGATCAAACAAATATTGGACAAAAATAACCTGAATGTCCACTTAATGACTCAAATAATGAAAGTTTTGGAAGGCTTTATCTAGTCAAAGTTTGGACTTAAACTGGCTATTCAAGCTAATAAACCCTCAAGTGTGGCTGAAGTAAAACAGTTTTGCAAAGAAGAGCGAGCCAAAATTCCTCCATAGTGATGTGAAAGACTTGTTACTGGTTATACCAAAGAGTTGCAGTTCTTTCTGGTGGCAAAACCAGTTATTAGGTTTAGGGGGAATCACTTTTTCCACATAAGGCCTGGTAATTCTGGATAACTTTCCCCTTAATAAATAAAATAATAATTTAAAACCTGCCTTTTCCAATATTAAAACACATTAGATCTGAAACATACAAGTGTGACATATCTTTTTTGCTTTGAAGATAGAGCCACATCAGGAACTAATTGTTACCACCTGAGGTTGTAGTAAGGCCGCAAAAATTAGAAAAGGATACTCCAGTGCATTGTTAGGTTTCTCAGGCTCCTCATAAAGAGCAACTAAAACTGCAAGAAAAAGGGGTGCACGGATATCAGTAAAAACAAATTAAAAGACTGTTTCACACAATGCATTATCGTTAACGTCACCAGGCTGAACAGGGGGTCCATTTACCGCTTGTTAAGGTGTCGAGGACTCCAGATTTTTCGAGGTACCTTCTAAATTGCTCCCGCTTCGACTCAGAGGCCTGAAAAAGACAAATAGTTGGATGACACACAACTTAGGAGCCCATTCATACACCGACATAAAGAGCGCTATAAAAACTCCTTGCACAAACAAGTGTTTTCAGCCCATGGTGCCTTCACTGCCTACCACCGTGTTGACGAGCAGGGGTCACGTTGTTATGACGCTAGCTAGCTAGCTTTACAAACTTTAAATGTACCACGTAAAACATAACAGCTACAGAAAGTAAGGCCAAAAATACTTACTCTATATTGAGCCATGACTTCGATAATAGCCGTGTAACTCCGGGTCGTCTACAATGTGCGAAACGGAAAACAACTCTGGACTAGCTGCAGCTGTTTGAATGCTACGCAGGAGGTGACTCTGTTGCCATAACAACACATCAAATCACGCGGAAATGAAGTTCTTCCGATAAACAATCAGCTTGTAAAAGAAGAAGAAAGACTACAGAGTAGCTGTCAAAATAAGATACATTTAAACAATAAAGAAACGTAAGTCGTTCCGTTTACGAGTAAACTACTGAAACGCCTCAGACATCGAAACGAGACGACGAAGCTGTGTTGCCAGATTTGCGTCACGGGCATGCAGAACCTACCTACCATATTATGATTTTTCGTCAGTTAGGCAACAACCCACTATAATTGGGAAATAAAGCAAGCCGAATTTTGTGTTAGGAGCTCCTGCTTGCCATGTACTACTGAGTGCTCTAAAATCGAGTAATGGATTGCTCTGATACCGAAGGTATCGTAAAAATGTCATAATTCATTGTCGAAGTCTTTTTTCCCGGGTTTCTACACTGGCATATTCACGGTACTCTTGAGAGATATTGTCACCCTCAGGAAGAAAAAGTCAAATTAAATTAACAAGTAAATACGTGCAACTTCTCTGCTTTTTTGTGTGTAATTTAGTTTCTATATTTAAATGGCTTGGCCTCGCTGCTGCCACCCCTATCTGGCAACACGGAAAGGTGAACGCAAGCCTTCACGGAAGCGTGCTACTAGCGCAACGTCCGATTTATAAAATATATGAGTTGCAGTCATTGGATAGTCTAAAACTAGGCGTGGCTTATCCATCGATCGGCCCCTTCCCGAGGCTCATATGACTTGGGTGTAAAAACACCAGCACGGAAAGTTGTTTCTATTGTTTCACCGGCTTCAACATGACAAGTGTCAAGAGTTAAGCCTCCTGTGCTTCTACCTCCAATAAAACCTAATGAATTATAGTTT